CTATCCAACTCATGAGAAAATTCTAGATTATGGAAGCGTCCTTGAAAAATCAAGTCATTCTCTCAAGAATCATGAGATTTCGGTTTATTATGCTAGCTTAGATGATGTGTGGAGTATAAATAAGATGATCATTCATGATGCATTAGGCATATGCAATAGCTACTGAAATCATGTTGAGTGAAGACATTGAAACTCGTTCCATTCATGAATGTCAATGTATAACTGATTGGTCAAAATGGAAACAAGCAATCCAAGTCAAACTCAATTCGCTTGAGAAACATAAGGTGTTTGGACCTGTAGCTCATACTCTTCCACATGTGAAGCTCGTTGGTTACAAATGGGTTTTCGTTTAGAAACGTAATGAGAAGAGCAAAATTGTGCGTTACAAAGATCATCTTGTTGAGCAAGGCTTCTCACAACGCCCAGGGATTGACTATGATGAAACTAATTCACTGTTATGAATGTGATTACTTTTCGCTACCTTACCAGTTTGATAATTTTTGAAAAATTGAGAATGCAGTTGATAAACATAGTAACTGCGTATCTTTATGGGGATCTTAATATGGAAATTTATTTGAAACTTCTTGAAAGACTTACATTGACTGGATCAAATATTTCCAAACCCCAGAAAACGCTCTCAATTCGACTGAGGCGTTCACTCTACGGTTTGAAGCAATCTAGAAAAATGTGATATAACCGTTTGAGTGAGTATTTGACTAGTCAGGGATATGTGAACAACGAACTATACCTTTGTATGTTCATTAAGAAGTCACATTCCGATTTTGCGATAGTTGCAGTATATGTTAATGACATGAACCTTATTGAAGCTCCTGAAGAGCTCGCGAAAATTGTCGCAAAATTGAAGTCAGAATTTGAGATGAAAGATCTAGGAAATACTCGATATTATTTCGGTCTTGAGATAAAGTGCCATTCGGATGGAATCTTAGTACATCAAATGAACTACACCCAGAAGGTGTTGCACCGCTTTAATGAGGATAAAGTAAAGCCTTCGAGTACTCCTATGGTCGTTTAATTGCTAGATGCAAAACGAGATATCTTACCTCCTAAGGAGGATGATGAAGAGATTTTGGAGCCTGAAGTTCCTTATCTAAATGAGATAGGCGTTTTATTTTACTTAGCTCTATGCACTAAACTCGACATCTTATTCACTGTTAATCTTTTGGCAAGATACGATAATGCACCAACACGCAGACACTGGACTGGCATGAAGGACATCTTTCGCCAATTTAAGAGTACTACAAATTTGGACTTTTTCTATCCCTACGAATCCTCGAGTCATGCAGCACCCCCTGCTTCTCGAGTCGATTCTCACCTTGTTGGTTATGCTGACACAAGATACTTATCTGATCCGCACAAGGCGCGCTCTCAAACGGGTTATATCTTTACCGTTTGAGGCACCACAATCTCTTGGAGATCAACTAAATAGACCTTAGTTGCCACTTTGTCTAACCATGCTAAAATTCTCGCCTTACATAAAGCAACTTGGGAATGCTTTTGGTTGAGAGCATTTGTGGACCATATTCAAAGCTCATGTGATCTTTACATCATCATAGATGTCCCGACGACGATCTTTGAAGACAACGCACCATGCATTGAACAGCTCAAGAAGGGTTACATCAAAAGAGACAACACCAAGCACATTGCGCCGAAGTTTTCCTTCTCACATCAACAATAAGAGCATCAGATGATTGAAGTCACGCAAATCCGTTCACAAGACAATCTAGCCGACTACTTCACCAAATCACTACCGAAGGTGACGTTTTAGAAGCTTATTCATGGAATTGGTATGTGTAAACTTTCTGAGTTGTAACATTGCTATTTCTCTTTGGAATGGTGTCAAACTTAGGGGAAGTATCCTAAAGAATACTTGTTTGATCTTAATGTACTCTTTTTCCCTACGATCATGAGCATTTTTCCCACTAGGTTTTAACGAGGCACTCGCCTTAGGCTGGTCATATCCTTGATGACGTCCCGTAGATGTTTTTTTTTTACTTTGCATTTCTCACACTTTTTTCCTTAGACTATGGATTTTGTCTGTACTCAAGTTTTTGCCATAGCCTTAGGGTTTTTTTAGTGAGACTTACTTCCTTATGCAAGTTCCTACCTTATTGAGAATAAGCATTGTTCCCAGAACCAGTGCCGACGAATCGACTTCCTCAACTTCTCCATGATGCTAACATCTACCTTGAGTATTTACACACTCAAGGGGGAGTGTTGTGAACTTTCGTAGTTTAAGTGTGATAGTGTAAATCCTAGATTAGATTTTATTCTAGTTATCTTTTCCTATATGGACTTGTATTCCTTAGAGATGAAAGATTTCTTCTCCTTTTTACTACTATAAATTAAGACAGTACGTAGGGGGATAACATATCTTTCAACACACATATTCCCCTACGATTCTACAAACACATCTTCTCTCTCTCTTCCTTGTTGTCGGCCCTCTCTCTTTAGTCAGATAAAATAGGCTACAACAACTAGTATCTTTTTTATTTATTTTATTTTATTTAAGTGATGCTTCAAAATTTAATTTAATTTAAACTATGAGAAAGGAGCATCACACGTTGCAGAGAAGGGAGCATATCCGATTCAATCAGTCCATTGGTAAAATAGAAGTACCAACTATTGAATATTTTGGTGGAAATTAAACTAGGTCTTGTTATTGTGCAAAAATACTGTATAAAAATAATAATACTTATTTAATTTAATAAATATGACTAGATATAAATAGCTTATAACATTTTCCTTATTGAGCACGGCGAAAACTTTTATAAAAACTCAACAATAATCATTTTTCATAAAATTTGTGAACTCTACATAGCTTTTAATCGGTTTTGTAAACATGTGCAAAATTATTATACATCCTTTTTCACTCTTTTTTCAACCTCTTCAATATTTTTTGAACATTTCAGAGATGATGTGGCCGATAGAAGTATGTTCTACCTATGTTGTTACCAAAAATGTTTTTCTTTGATATGCCTAGAGTCTATATTCCTACCATCCTTGCATGTAGGTTCCAACCATAGGAAGGTGAAAGATCAACATCCATCTTTGACATTCCCTGGTAACTTCTACCACTATTAGGCAGCCACGTCAGAGGCGATAAACTTGTTGAGAATGACTCGTCAACAAAGAGTAGGGTGGCCATAGACTTTTATGGAGCTCTATCTAATTCAAATTACATGGTTATTTTTTTTTTTTTTCAATGATGGAAGGGCCTTCCACTGTTACACATTACAATCAGATAACCCAATAAAATTTGGTATAACCAAAAAGCTCATTCAACAAACGAAAAAGAGAATTCTAATCCTTACCCCGCAAAGATAGAACGCAACTCCCCCCCCACCACTGCTACCACTATCACCTTGCCAGCAGCCACAAGGGTCCTGTCTTAAGAAAATCAACTCCGCGTTGGATTCGACGAAGGCATTGCAACACAAAAAATTTAACCCCACAACAAGAAAACAGTCCAGACCAAATTTCGCCACTAAAACCGCGGCAGGAAAAGAACCACCCCATTCAATCCACATTCACATACCCCTGGTAAAGAACCAAAAACACAAACTTTTAGAAGACGATAGGGCTAAAGGCGCATTTAAAACACCCTCGCTTGGGCTAAGCTGCAAGACGCTTGGTCCCGATATTTCGGCTTGTCGGTCAGGCGAGGGGTAATGAGGGAAGGATTGAGATATGGCGGCTAAATCAGGTTTGCCGCTCATAACTTTGAGCAAACGTTGTGGGAGGAGTAGTGTGTGAGAAGGGGGAGCTTATGAAGGAGGGAAGGTGATGGATGTTGGGGGTTGAAGAAGCGCAATTACAGGGATAGATGTTAAATTTGCCGAAGACAAAATACGCTGATAAACACCGGAAAATTGGTAAAGCACACCGGCAAAACAAGCCATTTACCAAAGGCATGGCCGAAGATTCTAAAGGGGAAAGAGAAAAAGGATAATTGCACAAAATAAATGGTTGCCAACCGACCCCAACCTAAGGAAGGAGTTGGAGGCGAGCTGGCCTTTTTGTTCTTCCCGAGAGAAAGAGAAAGCGAGCGGCCCTGCTATCTAATGGATACTCTTTTAAGTAACACAAATTACATGGTTAATTAATTTGAAGAATATAAGCACAAATATGCAATAATTTTGTATAAATAAATAATAATTTTATATTAATGTTCTTTTTGATAAATGGTTTTACCAATCAAACATTATTCATACTAGAATGACATCTTAATATGGGATTAATCCTGATTGAACATTCTGAATCTGGAAAAGACAGCACTATTCTATATACGCACGTATATATAAATATCAAACATTTGATAAAATCCAACGTAGGACTTGATTATTCTTTTGACTAAATCTCTCAACCTATTTGCTTTAATTTCCAAACCAAACTATAGGGACATTTGCTCTGAAACCTGAAGGAACTAAAACTGAACCATGGATTGAACGCTTAGCTAGCTTCTATGCAATTCTAGAATGATTATCATCGTTCCATTTTAATATTTCATTTTGCAGAATTTCAGGGTGGCCTTTATCTGCTTCAAGGTTTTGGAAGGTTCTAGGGGAAGTTATACATATTGTCAAATTGTCAAGCAATAATTTGGTCCTGGACGGCTCTTGAACTGCATCGTTCCATTTCATGATGCACTTCAGACGTGATTATTCAGCTCGCTGCAGAATCAGAGAAAAACACCACATGATTTTGATTATGGTGATATTTTTTTGTTTTCCACATATTGGAAAGTGGATGAGATATATATTTCATTTTCTAATTTGTTTTTCACGTATATAAATAGAGATTTAGGCGGTATTAATTAGCTCCTCACAGTATTGTTTGATTCAGCGAACTTACATAATTAGCAAAACAAAATTATCAAACACACGTAAAAGTTTCGTTGCACATTGTGTTCTAATGAAGAATGTGTAGATGCAGACAGAAAGGCGCAACAACACAGCAATTCCTTATATATTTGAAATCCTGCACAATCACATAACTCTCACAAACAAAATAAAGGAAACAAGCATTTAACAATTTCATAGGTTTTCATGGAGACCCCCTGCAGATACATCAAGGGTTAGGTCCTTTTATTCTGTTTTTTCTTTTAATTTTCGGTTATATTTTTTCATTTCTTTTTTTCTCGTTTTGATACTGTTGATAAAATTAAGCTGGGATTTTAATTAAATTTCCAAAGGTTATGGTCTCCTTGTTCTTGATCAGCAACTATAGCATCATCGCCAGCTATGTCCAAGCGAGGAGGGCTAAGAAGCATTCCCTCAGCCATGTTCACTAGAACGTTAGGCATATTGAAGATCAGTTCCTCATCAACAAACTCCTGATTCAGCATTAATCTATCAGCCTCATCAACTGTCTTATGAGCCTGATAAGCATCTTGCTGATCACCCTGCACCTCACTCCTTGAATAAGAACCGTGATCAATTGCAACTCCCATGGCAGCAGCAGCGGAGGATGCTGCCGCCTGGATGTCACGTGGCGAAGTGGAGGCTGGCACGGGCAATGAAGAAGCGGAGTTGGGGAAGTTGAGCTCAGCACCTTGACCCTTGAGAGCGATAGCAGCCACGTCATAAGCAACCGCAGCCATTTCAGGTGTGGAAAATGTGCCTAGCCAAATCCTATTAGGTTTTTTGGGCTCTCGGATTTCTGAGACCCATTTTCCACTGCTCCTGCGCCGTATACCGCGGTACGTTGGGTGACGCCCAGTGGAAGTAGTAGTACTTCCAGTACTGCTTGATGTTGTAGTAGTACTTCCCGTACTGCTTGATGTTGTAGTAGTATTTGTGGTGTACATGGTGGAGATGTGGCATTTGGAAGTTGATGGAGGAAGCCATTTATGGAGGGAAGGTATTTGGGTGATGAACCAATTGTGAGCTAGGTGAAGAGTTTGAGAGGTAGAAAGTGCAAACCAGGTGTTGCTGAACTGCGCCGTGAAGAGAGTTGGGGTGTAAGGCTGTAAGCCAGCTTAGTTTGTGTTGGATGGATTAGTTCTGGGTTGGATTTGCGTATTTGTATGTAAACTGCGCATCAAACGTCAATAGAACAGTGGTTTTATATATATCACTTTTCTATCTTCCATATCACCCCCACTCTCCTATCGTACTAAATGCTATCATCTAACAAAGATTTGATTATAATAATGAGGGGATTCATCTTTTCAAGGTGATAATCCCATCAAAGGAGTATAAATATGATGATGATGAGACGTGGGGATGGTTAGTGTACTAGAGAGTGGAGCTTCCCACCCTTTCTGTTATCTATATCGCAACTTGCCTACTATATTAAACCGGGTTTTGAACATTAGTTCTTGAAAAAATATCAAAACTTAAAAATTTCTAATGTTAGGTTATATATTGATTTTAATGTACGGAATTGACTTGTTTGGACTGAAATGTCTGTACTTAAATATTTTGTATCGAAATATGTTATAATAATGAATTAGTAATGTAGACTTAGAAAAAGAAAAATTATGAAATTGCTAAAAAAATTATATAAAAATGACATGAATATGAATGTTGACATTTAAATAGAATCCAGGGACTAAACTCAATTTTGAATCTTGTACCAGACATTAATCTGAATTTTACCTAATTTAAGGATTAAAATCTAGTTTTCTATAACTCAAAGTATAAAATAAAAACATAGTCGTTACATTATAGAAAGTAAGCACTTAACTTAAAACCAATTCAAAATAAACTCCAATAATGTTGTAGAAATATAGTGGAAAACATTACACACAAGAGAGAGAACGATAGAGAAGAAAGAGCTCGACTTTCATTTCCTGAGAAATTGTTTTTTAATAATCCATAAGCTCAAGATTATGAGGTCAGTTTGAAAGTACTTTTAAAATAATTAAAAACAATTTTAATTACCAAAAGTCCTTTTAATTATGTTTGACATAAAAGTGAAAAGTAGTGTTTTGGAGTTCAGAAAAGCACTTGAAGTGCATTATGAAATTAATTCAGCTTCAACCCAACCTATATTGGTTCTAAGACTTGTTATTGAATTGGTACTTCAGATAGGAGTTTTAAATTCTATATGTAATCCTATTAGCAGTTTAGTTGTGTGCTTAATCCAAGTATCTAGAAGCTATATGGTTTTCCCTAGACTATATATATATATATATGAACATGAACTCAAGCTCTTGGGTAATTATAGGATAACTTAGCAATTCTATGATGGATTGGTTTGCCAAGTCTCGAGCTCCTATAAATACCAGCTGGATCGCTGCACACGCTAGATACAATCATATTGATCTCCACTGTATGACAAATTGTATTAGCCCTGGTGAGTGTGCAGAAGACTGCTTGGTGGTTTCTTGGACGTGAAGGTGTTGCTTGGTTGAGATAGTTGCAATGAACTCTGCTACTACAGGTCAGATGTGTTTGTTATAACGTGTGAATGTTGATGTAGCCTTGTTAGTCTTGCACTTCTTTCAGAAAGTACATGCTGTGTGCTTTCTCTTAGGAAACACATGCTTCTTTCAGGAACACACGTTATATATGTACTTCTTTCATGAAGTAGTTGCTATGTGCTTATTTAAGAAGCACGTCAAGTGCTTTTCCCAACAACCACTTACATTTTAATTAATAATTTCAAGATACTTTTACTGAAAATGTTTCTGAGTTAGTTAACTATTGAGCTAATCCATAACAAGACTAACTCGATCTCTCTTCATTTCTAAATCATGTGCTTTGTGAACTATAACCGATTGTATGCTAACATAGTGGGGAGTCCCAGAATCATATATACTATGCTGCGTTTTGATTTCCCACTTTAGGATTGTCTCTATGCATACATGGCCATATTAAGTACAAGCATCGATCTCTTTATGCGAAAATGATTGTGTATGACTAGTAGGTTAAATCTATTCGATTACAATATGGTTTAGGGTTGCTTTGCGATTGTGGTACTTTTAAACAAAATAGCTTATTAAAAAATTTGTAACATCAAATATGTTTGGCAAAACAAAAAAAAAAAATGTTTTTTTTTTAAACTGGTGTCAATGACAATAAAAAAAAAACATAGAAAAGCAGAAGCAGTTTACCGTGCTTCTAAACAAGTTTTTTTTTCAAAGCATAATAAATAGTGCTCATTTAATGAAATTTTCAAATAGCAAGTATACTCTCACATATTTTACAAAATTACAATCATTGCCCCTACATTAATCTATTTGACAATTATTATATCACATTAAATATTATATCATTTTTAGTCATTTAACATATTCATAGCAATTTATACAAAAAATTATCAAACACTCAGACACTATTTTATTTTTATTTTTGTTAAGAACACCTCTACAAAAAAAAAAAAAAAAAAAATAAAAAAAAATAAACAATAAAAAAACAAGAACAATACCAAACTAGCCCCTAATTGAATAGAAAATATCAAAGTAAAGCTAACGACACTACAAACAAAAGTTCATTATCCACCAACAATTTTTGAGAAACCCAAATACCCTCAAAAAAAGTTCCCGATCGCAAAACATTGGTCGTCCGTAAAAAGTCATGGAAACGAATTTTGCTTTAGATACACATTTTGCCCTCAAAACAAGTTTCAAATGCTGTCGGAATTTTTTTTTTCTGCGGGAAAATAATTCACCGTTTGTTTTAGCGACAAACAAAATTGTCGCATGAAACATAATGGTATTTTCAAGGGTGTACGCAAACCACCAAATTGATGACAAAAGGTCCTTGCATTTCAAACACTTCGAAGTTCTCATTCTTTTCGTGGCAGCATGGGCGGTTGAAACATCTACGATGGGAGGAGAGAATGTTAGTTCATGTTGGCTACTGTTCGAGTAGTAGTGCTTACACTTATCATATTTTTTATATTACATTTGTATTACCTCTCTAATAGAGGTAGAGTTTACCAACACATGTACATATGTGGATCTTATCTTTATTAGAGAGGTAGAAAAATGTGGTATGGAAAATATGGTAAAAAGTAACTTCTTTTTATAATTTAATCAAGTTGTTTCGGGGTTTAAGGGTTTCATATTTTAAGTTTAAGGTCTAAGATAGGATTTATGTTGGATATGTAGATTAATGGAACTCTGAAACCGAGTAGTGCTAGATATAATTCACATTCCAAATTGGTAAAACACACACTCACGAATTTCAACATATATTAACCAAAAAAATATATATATAATTCACATACCAAACCATAAACTCCAATGTAATGGTTACTTTCATTTATACATTTTGATTAAAAGTGATATTACTATTTTGAGTAACACTAAGATAAGCAAGAGAGTTTTTTTTTTTTTTTCTGACACACAAATCTGATGACCTAGTACTAAAATTACAAGCTTTATATAAACACAACGCCTAAACACAGTGCCACACCCACTCAATTAGCTCTCACTAGCATTACTCCACTATTAATCTCTAATTTTAGCACTAAGAAGCGCCTTAAGTGCATGCATTTGCTGCAATACAATCATTAGTTTTCTTGACCAAGGCAGGTGCCTTTTTCACCAACTTGCAGCTGCAGGCAACACTTTTAACTTGTATCGTTTAACTCAATGTCCCAAAATGAAAAAGCAATAAAGCAAAAAAAAAAAATTCTTGCTCTGAGGGGAGCAGACATTTCTTCCCCTTACTAGTTCTGGGAAGAGGCAGAATTGAAAAACCACCCTTCAAAACCTTACTGTTTAATATAATTTGCATGAAAGTACTACGTGAACTTACGTAGGAATTTGCGCTGTACATCTATCTTGTGTCATTAGTTGGATGTACATACATATCGATATCTTTGCTCAATTAAACGAGAAATTTTTACATACAATAGGTGTCGTAATATTGCGCTTAAATTAACTAATTATGTTATCCATAAAGATAAGAACCTTCTCTACATAATACCGAAGGAGGGAGTGGGTAGTCCCGCTAAAAGATTATATTAAAGATAGTTGAGAACCAAATATTAAAGTGAGCTGAAAGAATACGTACATATATAATATTGTTTGCCTATATGTCCGTACAAACCCGAGTCCTGGTAATATCATTACCAAGTTGACCTAGGTAAGACATGTATCCTTCATAGTTGGTCATATATATAGTGCCTCAAAATCAATAGAAACGTAGTGAACCAAGTTGTGTTTGACCCTAATTTCTTAATCAAAAATCTGAACGCGCTGAGTCTGTGGTTGGAGAGGAATTGGTGGGTTCTGCCCCCCACGAACCAAAGTGATCTAGAGACCATGAACACTCTGAAAGAGACAGCGCCGCAGACAAAGAATTAGGGCTTCTTGAAGGAGATAATATTAATATAATAACTTTCATTCATAGCAAATCGATCCGTTCCAATTAGCAAAAATTGGACGGTAAGATCATCGTAGGTACCAGCTATTTATCGTATAAAATTCTCGTACTCTACAACAAAAAATGAGGAAAACAGTGAAATACACAAGAAGTCCTGTGTAGTTAATAGGTCCTGTGATGATGCTATACTTATCCTTGCTTACAACAGTAAAGCGAGTTCTTACTAAGAAGCTGTTACGTACTATAAGCATACATTATCAACATCTAATATGAAAATAAATTATATGAAAAAAGGTTGGGCAACTTGATTTGATATGTCGTGTCTTGGCCGTGTAACTATGCTTTGGTATATTAATGCCTCCCTCGAATGCTTTGAGTTTAAGCAATAGAGTACGCGTTGAAAATAACACTTTTTCAGTCGACATGCAGCACAATTAGGATAGTTTCGAATCAACAGACTCTTTTATGTCAATATCTGGTGAAAATTAAAACGTATACTTACGTCCATCTTACATGCATATAAATAAAGAAATACTTCTGGCAAATGTTATACGTATGTACTTAAATAAATTAGAACAATGTATAGTTAAATTTAAAAACAGAAATTCATGATATGGTCTTTATCCTGGGTATGAAATTTATTTAGTGATTACTAATTAATTGCCACTACTTTAGAAACTCATGTGTCCACATATTTTCTACAAAAGGAAATCATATTCT